AGGAATAGAAATTTTTATAATTCCTAGACCAACATAAAATAATTATCTGCTATAACTGCAGGAGTATTAGGCACATTGTTTCAAATTGCTTCTTCTCAAACCCAAGAACCTCTAGCAAGCCTAAAGACCAAGATTGACTACACTCAGATTGGATCTATAAAAAATATTTTAGAAAATCAAAAGTTAGTTGTAAAAAGAATACAAATAGCAGATGTTTTGAATTATTAGCAGCACAAGATATATTTATCATTAGTAATTATAAATTGGTTAAAGAATAAAGTTTCACTATATCCAAGAGATGTTTTGGTGATAGTGATGAAGCCTGTTTTAAATCAATACAAGTTATTAGTAGAGTAACAAAAATGGATAAGAAAAAAACTAGACTGGTTAGAAAGATTTATAGCAATAAGTTGTTTGGAGATGTTAGAAAATAAAATCAGAGTTTTTATTAAAGATAACACAGTTTTTCTAGTATTTAAAAAGGGCCAAAGAAATGATAAATAGTTATGAACTTAAGATGTTTAAATATTATTCTTTCTAAAAAAAAATATAAATTTTAAAGTTTTGAGTAGCCTGTTTTGTATAATAGAAAACAATTAGTATATAATCACATAGGATCTAAAAGATGATTATTATTATATGATTATAAGAGAAAATACATAGCATTTTCTTGGTTTTTAAATACTAAAAAGTTAGTATTATTACAAGTTCTTTCTTTTGGTCTCTTGCAAACTGTATAAATTTTTTTCCAAGATTATGTAAACCATAATAGAAATTGAAGATCATTAGGTTTATTTTGTGACAACTATTTAGATAATTTTTGGTTAGCATACTCTTCTTTAGATATTCTAATTACAATAAGAAATATTATAATAAAAATAGATCTAAAAAAATATGAATTAGTAAAAAAAATATCAAAAGGTCAGTGGATTCTATTTAAATGAATAAAATTTTTTGACTTAAAATTAATACAATAAAATCACTAATTATTGTTCCAAAAAACAAGATTATATAAATAAAAAAATTAATGTTAAAGTTAGTAAAGAAGAAGATGATTTCAGTTTGTAGATTGGTATCAATGATAGAGAAAATTCAATTACTAAATAGGGTATTTGTATATACAAAAATTCATTGTCTAGAGTTTTATTCATTAATAGATGCTGCAAACATAAGTTTATAGTATTGAGATATATTAGTAAATTTGGCAAAACAAGCATAAAAAAATGCAAGTTAGATGGTAAAAAATCTAGAAAGAAAAAATAATTGTCCAGTTTAACAACTATTAAAAATAAGACAAGTTTTTGTTAATGCTTTAACAATAGAATAGTTAGCTGTTTTTGGAGATCTCAAAGTCTTTAGAAATTAGAGTTCAATAAAATTTTATAGAGAAATTACAAAACTAGAAGCAAAGACAATAATTATGAATTTAAATTTATTTATAAAACTACTACAAAGTTTATAAATAGATCTGCATATAGACATCAGAGTATTAGTAACAGTATTAAAAGAAGACAGACTTCTATAGCAGAAGAATTTGCTAAGAAGGTTGTAGATTTTGATATACAAATATGATATTTAACTTAATGAAGTGTTTTGGATACCTTTAGAGATAAATCTAGCAAAAGAATTAACCTGAATTTTAAATAAAAATAATTAGTACTTGAATCAGATGATTTTTAATCTTATAAAAAAAAAGTAATAATCTTATATAGTTGATCACATGACCAATCATTAAAATAAAAAACTAGCATATTTCAATAGCAAATTTTTTTACTCAAATTAAAAGGTATAAACTGCTTTACTCAGAACTAAACAAAAGAAAACAATTATATATGCCTATCTATAGCTCTAATTCATCATGTTCTATAGTATATAATAGAAAAAATAGCAGTAACAATATATTTGTATCTAAGTAGGTTTTAACAACATGATAGCCAATGCTACTGTATATTTAAATAAGTTATTTAGTACTACCCTAGTACAAATATTATTTGTAAGAGGGTTTTCAGAAGAAGTAAAATCATTAAAGAATCTGAATTGACAGTTTCTAATAGTAAAAATAGGTTAGTTAGTAACCTGCTTATAAAAGCTCAAGCTATAAATAAAAAAATCAGTTTTAGAAAATTGAAATTAACATTTGGATAAAATATAAAATATATATAAGAACTTTTGTAAAATTATGAATTTAGTAGCATTGTCATCAGATATTAATACACTTGTATTCTTTTTTGTTTGACTAGATCTAACATATTCATTTTCAGACTATATAGATTTTTTTGCAGCAATATCAAGAAAATACTTAGAGCATCATTTGTCAGATCCTTCTAAGAATAATAAAGTTAAAAAAATTTATAAAACATTGATTAAAGAATATAAGAAGGATAAAGAGCCAAAGTAACCCTGTAACCTTTTAACAGTTTTTGCTTTAAAGAAGTTTATTAACAAAAAACAATACTATGTAAGTAAAGATTATTGGATATGTGATACTGCTTTGGTGCCTATTGGACTAAGAACAATGCATTATCCTGATGAATTGTGTAAACTGAAACTTATGAATATTAAATTCAGTGATAAATTATGTTAAGTATGCATAAGCTTCTCTAAGACTAATCAATTTTCAAATAGAAAGTTTATTCTTATTGAATATACAAATAGTTGTTACTGCCCAGTTAGATTATTAAAGAAGTATTTATTAATAAAACAAAAACTGCTGATAATGAATCTTTTTTTCTGTCAAAACAAGGAAAACAACTCACAATTAGAACCAACAATACTATTGTTAAAAGAATAACCAATAATGCAGAAGCTAGAAGTAGATTTACAGCTCATAGCATTAGAATTAGTGATGCAACAACTGCAATAGAAGCATGTTTGTCTTTGACACAAATATGTGTTATAAAAAGTTAGAATAACAAATTAGTTATGTTATATTTGAGATCTGTTGGAACAGTGAAGTTATAGTTCTCTAAAAGAATAGGTTTGCTAATTAATAATCCTCTTCTATTCCTATATGCTTTTCAACTTTGTTAAATAAAGTCATTTATTTTGTTTAAATAAGATCATCTGACTGAGTAATAATAATGTAGAATCTGTCAACAAAGTAACAAGACAAGAGATCAGATGATTTTATGACCAATTGCATTTCAGGTTTTTTATATATTTTTTTATGATAGTTCTTTGATTGTTGTTGTTAACAGGTAATTTTGAGATTAATACATGATTATTTGAATGACTAAATTGGTAAGAACAATGGCTATAGCCAGGAATAGATCAGTAATGCAGAAGAATGTGAACAAGGAGTATTTAAGAATGATTGTCTTGGTGAAGAAAATTATTTTTCTTTTCACTATTGCTTGCCTTGTAAAGGCTAACTCTATTGCCCTTCCTTACCTACCCAAACTCAAGCAAATGATGTTTGTGTCAGGCTCCATGACTGCACTAGCAGTGCAAGGACCTGTTGTGTGGTTTCATGACTGCAGTAGCAGTGCAAGAACCTATATAATTTTTGACTCCACAGCTGCAAATGGCAGTGCAAGAACCATATTAAAGATGATCCCTTACTTATTTTGACATTAATATATATATATATACTGATTATTTTTATACTATAAGAATGATTGACATTTTCTCTCTACATAGAAGGCATTTGATCTATGAATTGTTGTGGTTATTTCTTTGTTTCGTGGGATATGCAAAGTATTATTGATGTCCATTTCACCTACTGTTTAATAATTGACGTCTCTGAATTTGGGGTATTGATAATGTATATTAGAGTCGCTGAGGGTAGCGAACCCTTATCCAATATGCTTTCAACTTTGTTAAATAAAGTCATTTATTTTGTTTAAATAAGGTCATCTGACCGAGCAATAATAAAATAAAAAATGTTTGATCGAATTTGGTCAGGTAAATGTCGAGTAATATTCGTTCAAAGTTTAAGCAACTATTAAAAAAAAAGCAACGACCAAATTTTTTTTATCTTTTGATAAAAATTTTATATTCAAATTATTTTTTTAAACATAAATGCAAATTAATTGATACCTATCTATCCAAATTCGATGAATTTTTTATATTTTCATTCTATGATAGCACTAGATTTTGTCAAATAGTTTTCGAGAAACCTTTGCTAGTAGTTTTGAAAGTTTTACAAAATCTTTATAAGGATCAGTTTGGTTGATTGGCTGTTTCCTTTTTTGATTTTGTATCACCCGCGGAAATTATTGCCCGCTGTCTTTTTCATTTATAACCGCTGATAATCGATTTAGAGTTCCGATATCTAACACATCCATCACCTGTGTTACGATTAGGGGAGAGTTTGATAGATTCTTGAACCAATTAGCTTAGATTATGAACAAATAGTGATTAAGCTTAAATGGTTTAAATCAACAAACTAACACACATCATTGTATTACAATAATACTAAATACTATCGTCAACCGTTTACAATCGTTCACCATCCTCATACTAAAACTACACCCTTATATATCTTTAATTATTATGGGGGTTTTAATCCCTCACTTGGTGCTTCAATCCCTCCCTAAGGATTTCAATCTCTCTGAGGGTTAAAATCACTCGTTATGCCACAAACTATACCAAAATAAGAAATACATAAAATAAACGATAATGATAAAACAATATGACTAGCTAAAAAAAAAAGAAAGCTTTGAGCATAACACCTGATTAGTATTATTGACAAATTTTTGTGGGCAAATCGGTTAAGGGATTTTAAAAGATAATAATTTATTTAATAATTTGATAAGTATATATTTTTACATACATATTATTTAAATGACAGAATATACACTCCCATACATATAAATAGAATCAGATATACGTTAAAGAAAAAAAACGATAAACAGTATAAAAGCTAATCTGTATTTCAGACACAATACTTTCCGAAAGGTTTGCTTCATTTAATACCTAAGTACATAAAGTGTATATAAAATATAATTATATATAATGCTTTCTAAATTTATGACGAAATTTTAAAGTTGATAATCAACTTACACACTTCCTCGTTTGGATGATAAGTCCGTAGCTAATTTCTCAAGTCTTTGAATCTCTGCTTCAGCATTCCTTCGTATATTAACATTTTGTATTAATCTCGCATCTTGTCTCATGCTTTCAATATTTGCATGAAGTTCGTCAACAAAATTAAACCGAGAACAAATTTTACTTAAATCTTTACAAAGTTTGTGGATGACTTCATATTTAGCGTTAGCAGTAGCTTGGAGGTTTGAAAGTGATGATTGATAATTGTTAGCATCATTACTGTGTTTTTGATATTGTTGGTTGGCCATATCATATTGCGCTTTCATGTCTTCAAGAACTTTATTTAATGTTTTAGTTTCCCTAACCATTTTGACCATGTCGTGATAGTGGCTATATAAATTATTAAGGATTAAAGAAGTCAAAAAAAAAAAAAAAAAAAGCTTGAGAACAGTAGAGTTTAAAAATTACCTCCTAGGACCACAATTACATACTCTACATATATTGTTTGATCCCATACATGAGCAATTAATAAAGTGATCAGTTCCAGAACTTGATTCCATACTAAGTCCACATCCATCATGACAAATTTTTTCTTTTTTATGAAGGGTACAAATAGTACTATGATGATCAGAAGGAACTATTTTGTCGAGAGTAATTGTTTCAGTTTTTGTATAATTAGAATAAGAATTCTTTTGATTGCCAGTTTTTTGTAATGCTTTCTGAGCAGCTTCAAGGCAATCTTGAACTTGTTGGATATTTGCAATATCTTGAGCCACTTTAGCAATTTCAGATTTAATTTTATTTCTGTAATCTCTCATATTTTCAAAGGCTTTAGTCGAAGTAAAAGATAATTCAGTAATTGTTTCCAATAATCTATCAATTGTATTAAGAGACTTTTTCCAATGATGTTCAACATTCGAACTTTCATCTTCATCATCTTTCCATACTTTAGGATCGGTGCAGAAAAATTGATTATCCATATAAAAAATTTTCTGATAATATTCAAAAAGAATTGCTTAATAATTTATTGCGAATTAAAAGGATAATAAAAGGATCTAACCTTAGGCTTTGCGATTTCTTTTGAAAAAGCATTTTCAGAGAAACAAGCACTACTTTTTGTGCACTTTGTTAAAATAAGCAAAAGATTACCCAATAGATCATCGGGAAGGTTATTTGACAATCTAACCAATGTATTCTTGATTGATGGAGTAACTCTAGCTTCAGTTCCATTTGCAATGATTACAATAGCTGATAAAGAACCGGCAGAAATTGCAGCATCAATAATCTCTTGAATATTCTTGTCATCTTGCTTAACGCCATTTGTGTCGCTTAGTCCAGGAGTATCGATAAGGATAAATTTATAAGCAGGGTTATCAGGATGAGCAAAATTATAGGTATGGCATTTTGTAGTTTGACTCTTGGTTACGTCCTCAATTGTTGATTCTGAATCTTTATTGAGGTACTCTGAAAAAGAGTAACAAAATTAATGTAGAAAGGTAATTAATAAAAATAAAAAATTTTTTTAGCAATACTTCAATTATATATACCATTTTCAGTAACTTTATAATATTTTGTTGGGATCACTATTTTTGGCTTATTAAGAGTACCACCTAAAAAGTAATTTGTCATCGTATTGATAATAGTGGACTTCCCAGTTCCGGTTCCACCTAACAATAGAATTTTGAAGATACCCGGCTCTCGATTAGACAAATTAATTTTATTTCGATTAGGTTTTTGAGAAAAATTAATATCATTCGTATCGTAATAAGAATTAATATTATTTTTCTGATTTTGATTTTGAGATGCCTCCATAAATTTCATGAATTGGGAAAACATGTCTTGATAATTAGGAGCAGTCTGTTGCTGTTGGTATTGTGGAAATTGCTGTGGAAACTGATGTGAAAATTGTTGTGAAAATTGCTGCGAATGTTGTGGAAATCGCTGCGAATATTGCTGTGGAAATTGCTGCGGGTATTGCTGTGGAAATTGCTGCGGGTATTTTTGTTGCGTAAATGGTTGTTCTTGAAAATAACTATTATTATTGTTATTAAATGCTGGGATATGTGGATGTCCGAAATCATTACGTGCAGGCTTTTGAGAAGAATAGTAAGAAGGTGGAGAATCATCATTATCAAACTCATTAAAATTGCTTTGAAAAAAATTTTTGATGAGAGGTTCTTTATCAACAATTTTTTTGTCAGTAGATTGGTTTGAAAATTTTTCAGGGATTTCTTCAGAATTTTCAAATGAAATGTTACTCATGCGAGAAGTCAAATATTAAAGTCACATTGAAATAATTTGAATTTAGAAAGTATAAATTAATTCTGTTTGTAAATTATTTTATTTAACTCACTTTCATATTCTTTGCTATTATTGGTCCTTTCCTTATTATACATTTCTTGCAACTGCATAGCAAGAATATAATCGTTCTCATGTCTTTCCTCATTATACATTTGTTGCAATTGCATAGCAGCGTAATCATCATCGATTTCGCTTTCCACATTTTTTGTGATACTAGTAGCTAAAGTTATGTCAAAAAAATATTTAATTAATAAATAATACTCATATGGAAGAGAAACGAGCGCATGAATATGTAAAATTTCTTTGTTAAAAAATAGATACTTTTATTATTATTTGTCAGAGGCGATCCTAAATTATAATACATATTTTAATGCAAGAAACACATAATATGATAACAAAATTATAAAATTAAAATACTATTAACTTATTTCTTGAGGCACACCATTGTAATCATCATAAAGTTTCTGCTGTAGCCTTATAGCAAAGGTGTAATCGTCGATATTATTTTTGTTGTTTTGCATGATGTTATTCGACTGTTTTTCAAGTTAATAGATTATCTAACGTTGGACCGCCGCGATTGTTATTTATTATTTATAGTCAATAATTAGCTGCCCGATACAAAAGTATCGGAGTAGCATTTTGTCTCGAATCGAACACGGAGTGTAATTAATTAATTAAGTAATGGTAGCGTAATTGATGGCATGACATGATTCAAGGGAGTAATGACGTAGTTTTTTGTGATTGATTAGTGAGGGAGCTACCGTAGAGGTTACATATGGGTGGAAGTATATTCGATTAGTAAGCATTGATTAAGGAAATTACGTGGTTGAATAGTCTTTGATCGGGTGATCATTAGAGCTAGTTACAGCAGGGACACGGAATTTATGTGATTTAGTGATGATTTGTGTAACTTAAAGTTCGTCGAGAACTATCAGTTACACAGAAATTAATATATAACAATAGTAATTACATGATTTGATGTAGTATGTCAAGAATTGCACTAAAACAAAATCGCATAATTTCCGTGTCCCTGAGTTACAGTAACGATGTAATTACGTCGTTAGAGTTTATTAGAGTAACGACGTAACTACGTCATTAGAGTTTATGAGAGTAACGACGTAATTACGCGTTAGAGTTTATTAGAGTAACGACGTAACTGCGTAGTTTTGATTAGTTTTTGATTAGTTTTGGATTAGTAATTGCTAGAACATATTTAAAGGGGTTAGAGCTTTTTCCAGACAAGTAATTTCTGTTTTTTCTGCTAATCCGACTTTGTCTGGTTTTTTCGTTCCGCCCTTACCCACCCTTATATATGCTAACCAAATGTCGTTGTGAGAAATTCTTGGATTTAACAGGGCTTGACCTGGCGGACGACAGACAAAGTTTTAGCATTAGTTAGGTGGCCTGTTGAGACAACAGCCACAAGGGAGCGTTGTAAGCTTTATATTGTGAGGCCCGATAACGTGACGTAAATACTCTGCAATTCCTCGATTTAGATATCCCGGCAATTAATCGCATTAATGCGATTAATTAAATAAATCAAGGAAGTAGAATTAATTGAAGAAAGGGGATTAATTAGAGAAGGAGGATTTATTAAGTAAACGGGTTTAAGTGAATAAATTAGAGGAATCGAATTAAAGGGTTTAAAGAGATAAATGTAATT